TATTTTTCTATAAAATCACTTATGATTCATATTTTGACCCGACACGCTTGAAAATAATATTGAAAAAATAATTTCATGATATCTTCCTGTTGGCTATTTTAAATTAACCCCTATATATTATAACGTAACCCAACTCATAAATGGGGATCCAACTAAAATCCATACTTACCTCGACTGATTGTCCATCTAAAAATATTATTATTTTCATTAATATAAAATTTTCTCTCAATTATCCAAATGTCTTGTTCATTTTCTCTTTTATCCCTTTTTAACCTCTTATTCTTAATTAGGATATCCGAGACTCAAACTTGAAATGAACTCACATATTTATATTTTTTTAATTAGTATTATTGTCATGATGGAATGAGGGTGGGGAATGGGGATAAAAGAAATGATAATTTTTATTCTTTTATTTTTAATTTTGGGTACACAAAAAAAATGTAATATTTGTACATATTTGCTTGATTAAGTCATCTTTTGTTGAACTAATTATTTCTATATGAATGCATCGTTATTTTCCTTCTCTTTTTCTCTCTTGTTTGTCATAAATTAAAAATAAAATAAAATTGTGGACAAGATCCAAATAGAAAAAAAATATATGGAAGAGATAGGAAGAAAAGGGACGGGGAGGGAGTAGTTTAGAGAGTAGATGCCTAACCTTTTTATAATTTTAAATTTACTATGAAATTCAAAATCAAGTCTATCATGTGAGCTTATATATTAAGTAATTTTAAATTATTTTAATGGAAAAGGGCCTAAAATGCCCTTAAACTATGAGATTCAGTACAATATTACCCTCCAATCCTCCATCCACCTGATGAGTGTGATCCGTTATATATATGGGTATTTTTGAGCCGAAAGGTGAACGTTAGGGGTATTTTAGGGCCGATAGGTGGATGGAGGGTAATTTTGTATCAATTCAAATACTTGAGGGACATTTTAGGCCCTTCTCGGTTCCTTTATTATTATTACGCATAAATATTCTCTTAATTATAGTATCTGAATAACTAATGCGTAAACCAAATTAGTTTCTCACTATGAATAAATATTTTTTTCTAAATTCTTTTTTGATAAGTTCTTATGTTACATGTGACACCTCTTGATCAACAATTTATCAATTTTCAATGTTGTACTTTTGTTCATTTTTCTCTCCTACAAAAACCTTCAACTATAATAGGTTAATGAGAATTAATTCTTTAAATATTTTGAAATACAATTTACGTGATGTTTTTTGATAAAATATATTACTTTACTAATCATCACCCTCATAATTTAAATATTTTAAAACTTCAAATAAGGTAAGAAAAATAGGGTAAAATCGTAACAAATCTCCCTTTTTGACTGGATTTTCTTGACAAAATTTGTTGGATTCGAAACTTATTACGACACCATGCGGAAGTTTATAATTACAAATCAAAATACTGATAAATTAGATGATAAATAAAAAAATAAATACTAAAATCATATTATTGATATGGTTTGGTGAAGTGACCTAAATATTGAAAACTAATTAAAAAAACATAAACTCTATTGAGAGAATAATCTCCCCATAAACTAAACTAACTTAAACGTTTATATTGTGGATGATATTGTGTTCTTGATATGAGAAGAGGGGTCTTCAATTTATAGAGTTTCAAATTTTTCTTCTAAGGAAAGAATAACCAAATATGAAAGAAAATTATATTTTCCTTTTAGAAAAAGTAAAAACAATCATGGTAATGTTTTAACTTTCTTTCAAGGTAAAATTAAAACTTAAATATGGTAAGAAAGAAAATCAGGACAAAATCCTAACAGCGGTGCGGGTGCGGGGCAAGCCCGCATACACCCGCAAAGACTTTTTCCCGCCCCACTTCGTCCCGCATATATAGAGCTATCAAAAATGGCTGGCCCAGCCCCACTCTGACCAAGCCTCGCGGGCCAAGGAATTTGAAGGGCTAGGGCGGGCCGACCCTTCATTTGGAAGGGACTGAAATTGCTCAACCCAAACCAACCCTAAAAGGGCCGAGGTTAGGGTGGGCTAGCCCATGTTTTTTTTGTTTTTTTCTTTTCAAACTTATAATTCTATAACATCAAGAAAATGAGAAGATTTTCAAATCAAATATGGCAAACAATGGTGTTGTTTCAATAATACTAGCAAAATATTTGGTGTAATTAGCATGTATCTCACATATCAGATATGCGAGCGAGATAAGAGAGTGACAAGCAAGATGGGAGGGAGGCGAGGGCGCGGGATTTGTCTATGTATCCTAGATACATGCGAATCTTCTTGGAAATAGTGTATCTAAAACAAATTAACCTAATTTTGAGTCCATATATTCCGATATACATGTATCTGGACGTACCAAATCTGATAAGATTCATAATATTACAACATATCGTGTATTTAAGTAATTAGATTATATATTATTGTAAGTTACCCTTAAATAAAAAGTTTTGGCCCATGGACCGACCCCAGCCCGGCCCCGATCAAGCCTCAAGGGACAAGAGCTTATATGGGTCAGGATTATAAGCCCTAGTTTTAAATGGATTTGAATTTTATTATCCCAACCGTACCCCAATAACGGATTGGGTTGGGCCGGCCCCACTACGCATATCACACTTTATTGTTTTTACCCCCGCCCCACTCCACCCCGCTTAAACCCGCAACATTCTTTTGCTTCTAACATTTTATGTGGTGACAACCATTTTTATTTTTCATTCATATGTAAAAGGTGAATTGTGTCAATTTTAATAAAATAACAATCTAATTTCATTAACGAGTATGTAAAATCTTTCACTAGCTACTGCTAAGTGTAACAATACATTCAAAGAACAATATTTTTATAATCAGAACTATAATTGGGATCAAATAATGAGAAAAACTACATACCCACTTAATGAAAAGAGACAATCAAGAATTTGAAGGATTACCTAAAACGGTAATGTAAAATTGGAGTTAAAAATAGAAGAAATTTATCAAGAATGGCTAGGAATCAAGTGTGTTGTTGCTATTTGATATTCTTGGTCAGCAATTAGTGACTGATAGAGTATTAAAATTCCAACTTTCAGCTCTTGAGTATTGATAAATTTTAGCTGGGAAGATTTCAGTTTCAAGAAATGGACGACAAAAATAAAAAAAATCCAACTCGCGTACCCGCCACGCAAAAGTTCTAACCCGCACTGCACTATAATCCGTCCCGTCTCATTGCCATCCCTACGTATGTCACTCTATTCTCTCTCGAATCCCATAAACGAAAAATGTAAATTTGTGTAACCCTAATATGGCTATGGCCTGTGGCCAACCATCTCCATTCTCTAGCCACATATATACTCTTCATTTCCTCAACATCTCAATTTATTTTTCTAAATTCTTCAGCCATTTTAAAATCTCCCACGGGCCTAGTAAAACAATCAAAATTCATAGATAATTATGCAACACTCATAAAACCATCAAAGATAAATAGTCCACTGCAAACTAAGCAATTGAATGTGGATTCTATTTCAATTAAAATAAATTTACATACATTGATAAATTGTCAATCGCAAAGTGGACAGAAAATAAAGTATGCAAAATGAAATTACTATGAGAACCTTCAATAAGCTACTATTGGTAAGATTTGAAGATCTTAGAATTCAAATACTAAAGCAATGTTATATCAAATATGATTGCAAAATAGATTTTCTCATAAATAGACATACTTTAATATGTTTTTGCTTAATTGAGAACTTTGTTAATATGACGGCAAAAAGTCCTTACTATATTGTAGAAAATGATGGATTAACATATTAAATGAGATTATTGATTTATGTTATAAAATTTAAAATGGAGGAAAGAATCACTCATGCCATGATCACTCTATTTGGACTTAGGCCATTATTAATAAGACTCAACAAACAAAATAATCCCTTTTCAGTAGTGTCACTTCAATTGGAAAAACCCTCCAAAAAGGGGTTCAATTTCCATCTTAGATTGTGAACAAAAACTTTATATATATTAGAACTGGTGATTTAATCTTTTGTGTATAAGCTAAAACTCTATACACTAAATTATCCACTATATAAGTAAACAAACATGATGTAATAAATATATGATCTATTAATTTTTTTATTAAAACTGAATAAACAATTATTCTATAATAAATACAATATATAAATACATGATTAATGATGTAAATTCCATGATTAATAGTATGTATCCCAACTATCTCCCACTTAGACTTTTAACCATCACAATTATTATAACATAATATATTTAAATGCATGGTTAATAATATTACAATTATTATAACGTAATATATGTGAATGCATGGTTGCGAGATAGAAAAGTTATTTTCCATAAAAATGTTAAATAAAGTGCAAAATGGCGGTGAATCATCTTATTTACAAAATCTTTCAAAGCTGCAATTGTCTTATAAAATTTTAACAATCCATAAATCTTTTCAAATTAGTACTTGAGTTTGTAGACAAGGAAATACAAAAATTAGTAATAAGCAGTCTAATTAATTAATTAATCATCTGAACCACACAAGAAGTCGTTAACTATTTTGTTGAACTTGGCCCCATGCTCGAGTTGGGGCACATGAGAGGCATTTTTAATGACTTCCAATCTAGCCTTTTCCCCAAGAAGCCTGCATTGTATATAGATGAATCAAAGATTGCCAAAAAAAATTTTCAAGTAAAATACATATCTAAACATAACTTGAAGTTTCAAAAGTTATTTTCTGACACAACTTCAGAAACTTATTTTATATATCGATAGATAGATAACAATAGATTGTAGATTATTTTATATTAATGCATTTACTATAGCCATAGTGCATCGATCGATCAATGTGAAGATAAAATAAATACGAGTTGGTAGAGAGATACAATAACAAAAATAATTTTGAGCGATAATAAATAAGCATTTTAATAAAGAGTGTTAACCTTTATCAGCATTATTTAATTGCCATTAGATTCAAGGTTGCTAGAGGTTTTAGAGATATTTAAAAGAATGATAATTGCCACTAAAAATTTATATTTAGCGGCAGTTAAATTATTTCTATTAATTAATTGCCGCTAAAGATCATTGAGTGAGAGAATACATACTCTTTGAGTTCAGTTGCCTTTTCAAGTAGAAATATCTGATCATTCTCCCCCCACACAATTAATACTTCCTACATACACACACCAATAAAGATACATATTAATGCTACAAATAATTATGTTACCAACCAAAAAAATAAATACTAATTAATCACTTGACATTTTATTTTCAAATAAAATAAAATGTACCTGTTGAAGTGGAGTTATATTATCTACTGTGTCATCTCTTCCAATGCTTAACCCATTTAACAGTTCCAACTTTTCCTTCCTGTTTTCAAGATACAATTTCTGCATGACAACTTTTAGTTTCAATTATGCAAATTTTATGTTTTACATTTTTCTAGACATAGGGAGATAATATATTTCATGCAAATCTATCTATAAATGGAACCACAAAATGTATAATACATAAATATTCAATTATTTATTATTTTTGAAATAGGATGACCATGTTGTTGAACAAATTAAGTTAATTACTCCACTTGTAAAAGTGGTCCACAAAAGCTCGTTATATATAATGAAAAAAAAAAAAAACTATACCTACCAAACTAGAAATTTTCTTGACAGATGCAACTTCCCATGCTTTAGTATAGTAGTAACTAGAATAAAGAGAAAACTACAATTCAATATGTTTGGGTCATCCATTTTATAACATATGTACATAGTGTAAATAGTGTGTATATATTTTATACTAACATATATATATATATATATATATATATATATATAATATACATACATATACAAATCTATACACATTATATATAACTGAGTATAAGGTAATATATACTTCGATCATATTTAATAAATTAGATGGTCGAATGTTATATATTGATAACTATCAAAAATAAAATCAAACTTGATAGAGATCATTCCTTACGGTTCTTGTTATCCATCAACAGAAAATTATTCCCACTAGATTATTGATTCATCCATAAATCGACAACACAACATTTATTATTATTTTACTAAAATATCTTTTATATGAAAAATTAGTGAAAATATATAGTTGATACATACACCACTAAGGTCTTATTTACATGCATTTAATAGAGGCTTGAATCTTAATCATTCAAAACCAATCCATCAAATTCATTTTTTTTCAATAAAGGACAAGTATAAAATAGAACCTAAAACTAAATTAATTACACAAAAATGCCCCTTTACATTCTAATTCCCAAAACGCCTAGTCGGCAGAAATTATTTAAACAACATCATATAGCGACCTCAACTATAGCGACATCATATAATGACCCCAGATGGCTGAAATTATTTTCTCTATTTTGTGATGGTTTCAGAATTTAGAGCATTCCTATAGAGACCCTAACTCATTTATGACTTTTTGGAACTGACAGTTCGGTCACTAGGTCGTTCATTTGATTTTTATGCAAGTTTTTATATTTTGAAGCTTGAACGGTTGACTTCGGTCAAAACATCAGACCAAACTACATAAGAATGCAATTCTGATGGTTCATTTAGCTCCATAGCATTGAGTTTTGTCTAGAAGGACCCTTGGTTTGGGTCCCAAGGCTTCTGAAATCTATTCGAGCTACTTTGTGGATTTTGGCTAAAATAGAGCCTTGAGTGTGGGACCCAGTTTTTTACTAGACGACCTTTGTTGGATGGTTTACATCTCTGTTGAGTCTGAAATACCAAATTTGGTGGGTATTATAGTTTGTTTGTGCGTGCAGGTTTCCGAGCCAATCCCGAGCACCAGAGTGGAGTCCGTTAGGACTTTGCTAAATTTGTTGGTATGTGTGTTGCCTTATGTCGTAGGCCCTTCTTTCTAAAAAGTGGAGTGTAGCAGTCCAAGCAATCCTGGCACCACTTAAGCACTAGTTGCTTTAGTAGCTAGGAAACCTCTTTAGTGACACTTTCCAGCAAGGTCCTAGCCGCTTTAGAAACCAGGGATAGAGACTCCCACCTACTAGGGTTTAGCCGCTTTAGCTGCCCTGGCACCGATTTAGCATTGGTTAATTTAGCGGTCAGGGAGCCATTTTAGCAAAGCCCACCAGCAAGGGCCTCGCCGCTTTAGCAGCCAAGGCACCATTTTAGTGGGGCCAATTAAGCAGCTTAGTGACCGATTTAGCGGTTATTGCTTGTGGTTTTATCCTTTTTAGCCCTCATTTTCTCTAAGTTTTAATTTAATTGTAGGACTTTAGAGGGCTCATTTGTGTGGGAAATATGTGTTTATTGTTGGGATTAGCTGTGGGATTGCCTTGAGGCATTGGGAAGGTCATTGATTACACATCTAAACTCGTAAGTTTTCTTTCCTCTCCTCAATTTTTAGTCTTCAAGTGTTTTGTTGATCATGTTGGTGCAAGACTGCCTTAGCGCAATTTTGAGCTTGAATCGTGTTGGTCTTCGGGGCACGAGCTCCTTGAGCCAAATGGGACCTATTGTCGGAGTCAATTTCAGGATTTCTTGCGTGAGTCCCACAATGTTGTTTTAACTCATTTTTAGTTCATCTTCAATTGTTGAAAAATGGGTATCAAAACATCTGTAATGACGTTATGATATTACATTTGATAGAATGGAAGAGATCGAAGGCATTTTAAAAGGGTAAAGCTTTGATTTAGTAAGATTTTGGAGCGCGTGTGATCATCTTTGCAGGCTATGGCTTACCGATCTTAGATTGTACTTGTGTTGGCTTTAACATGATGTTTAGCTAGTTTTGGGAGGGTGCTTAGCATGACTCATGTTTAGTTGATAGAATTCCTGCCTTAGCTTCAATATTTTGGTATTTTCAGGGGATTCAAGCATGTTTTACCTCATTGTGATGTTTATCATGCCATGTTGTTGTCTTATATCTTTCGCACTGTCATTTCTAAGTATTCTTGGCCTTAGTCTAGGCTTAGACTAGTGATTTCCATAGAAAATTGTTATTTTGAATTGTGTGCCTTAGAAAACTATCGACGACATTTCGAACGATTCTAACTCTATTTAGACTGATATAGCAGACTTGGGTCTGATAGTATGAATCCTTAGCTCAATGACAACTCTACTCTTATTGAACTTTCATCCATAACTCCCTATGATATGGCTTGACGTGTTTTTATTGTGATTTCAGGCCTTGTTGGTAACATTGGATCAGGTCATGGGTTTTAAGTTGGAATGGGTCCCTTGTGACTTTGAAGGTGGTTTTGTTTTATGGTATATTCCCGCATGATGATGAACATGTGATTATGGAGTTCTTCAGAGTGTACTAGCCACAGTTCAATGTATGGGCCCACTACTACTAGCCACGACTTGAGGTTTGAGAGTACGTCTACTAGCCACAGTTCATGGTCAAGGCATATGTTTACTAGTCGCGATTCAAGGTGTGTGCTCAGTTCTTGACAGTATGGTTCTACTGGGAGTATTTAGGATACCTTAGCTGCGGTTCGAGGTCTGAGTTTTGGTTTCTCCAATAATAGAAGTTTATCAAATATTAGTTTGGAATTATGTTAGCTCTTTTGTGTACTCATCAGACTTATGAGGGCCCGTTTAAGTAGTTTTCATTTCAATTGTGCACGAGTGTACCTTCTGAGCTTATATGGGTACAATTATGTTAAAGTTAGCAACATTACTTTATCACTCTATATTATGTTAGGCTATTGAGGCCCGTAGTTGGACTTTTTGTCATTGTACTATTCATCTGACTCGTAGCTATCATTTATTTCCTCACTTTCATTATGTATTTGCTTTCCAAGCTCAGTCGGCCTATGATGCCTACTGGTACCTATTATTTTGGAACTCATGTTACACTGCATCTATTTTTCCTGATACAAATCCGAGCATCGGCCGACAACATTGATCTTTTACAACAGTAGGGACATCCGGAGATTTAGGGTGAGCTGATGGCATCTTAGTTTGACTCGTCTCCATCTATATATAGATTTGGCTAGTCTTTGTATTAAAGACAAATCTAAACTTATTTTTACTTATTTTGGAACTTATGCCCATTATAGTAGCTTTATGATTGTGGGATTGGATCATGTATTATTGTATATATTTATGTCATTCCCTTTTTTCCGCTATTTAGTTATTTGTTTTGTTGATTATCTTACCGTTGTTTTAAAGTTTCTACCTATATGCTCGTCATTTTTCATTCGGGGATATGGTTTGGGTAACCTACCAGTGGGAATTAATAGGTGACATCATGGCTAGAGTTTTCAAGTCGTGATATAGTTGGTATCACAGCTCCAAGTTTGTTAGTGTTGTTGGTACAAAAGCTAATGTCTAGTAGAGTCCTGCAGATCGGTGTGAAGATGTTTATATCCTATATTATGTATGCTACATGACATCATATGAAGGTTCTTTTGATCCTTTATCATGTGTTGATTGTTTTAATTGGTTTATAGAATCTTTGTTGTTTCACTCTTTCATAGGATGGCCCGCCTGCGAGGTTCATCAACTGGGGGTGATGCTCCCGAGCTACTAGGTAGAGCCCCAGCTAGGAGTCGAGACCGACCCCAAGGTCGTGCATGAGATGTAACACCAGATAAGGATTAGGATAAAGAGACCATAAATTTAGTTGTAAAGCCTCAGCTATCTCTTATTGCTCTACCGTCGGTGGGGTCGAGACCAGCCTAGCCACCACCCGGGTCAACTATGGACAGAATTGCAGGCAGCTATTACTCAGTTATTGACCGTACTTGAGGGCATGCAACAGGCCCAAGCTCAAGTTATACCAGAACCATAGGTTCAACTGATAGTAGCAACTCCTAAGGTTGAGGCGCCACTAGCACCCATCGCCACCCAACCAGTCATCGCATTAGGAGCTATGCCATCAGAGGAACATAAAATGCTCGAACTATTTTTGAGATTGACTTATCTGAGGTTTTCTGGGGCTATAGGGGAGGACACCCACGAGTTCTTGACAACCTACAGAGATAAAATGTATACCTTGGGCCTAGTAATGTCGAGATGAGCAGACTTTACTAATATCAGCTTGATGGACCAGCAAGGCAGTGATGCAGGACCTTGATGAAGTGTAGACTAGTTGGATCCCCTCATGTGATATGAATAGAGTTCTGAGAGGCTTCTTTCCTAGGTTTGTGCTAATGAGTGTTAGAGATCATTTCAAACATCAGTTTACTAGGATGGAGTAGGGATCCATGATTGTGTTAGAATATGAGACTAGATTCCACGAGCTTTACAAGCATGCTACCATGATTCTACCTAGTGAGTAGGAAAGGGTTTGTTGCTTTGTTCGTAGGTTGAGATTGCAATTGCGCATTGAGACTGAGTCTATGGCTTTAGCGAGAATATTTTTCTTGAATGTTGTTAATCGTGTTCATGCTATG